TATTTATTACCCCCCACCATCGGTAATCAGGCCGCTCTTGGGCGGCTAACAACAAAAAAAACAGCACAATATCAAAAGACGATTAAAAAAAAATATAAGGCATACATTCAAACAAATATAATAACAGCAGGATAAATTAAAGCAGATGGCAATGAAGGTGGTAAAAATGATGATGAAAAAGATGGAAGGATGATGAAGGATGATGAAGAGACTGAATAAGTGGTTGTCATTTAAATGGCGGCCTCAGGTTCTGGAATAATTCACGCAGGCTTCTGGTATTTGATTGCCTTTCTTCCAGGTGTGTTCTTTATGTTTTTAAAAATTAAGTCTTTATTCATTATGTTTTATTATTTCAGCCTCTTTTATTTTGTTTTTGAACTTGTTTAGAACCTGTTGATCTGAACCTAAATATGCTTCAGTTATTTGGCCCTGTTCTGTTCTCAGTTTCTGCCCAGTTTTATTGTGAGCCTCGATGAGTCTCTTTTGGGAGAGATGCAAATCAATAAATAAAAGCAGGCGTAGCATAAGTGCCATAATGTTCTGCACAAGTGAGCCAGAAAAGCAAAAGCAAAGCTTAAAACACTCTCTGGGTGGTTTACAAGTTGATTATGCAGTCTACACATTGCCGCTGCCCCCTCCACCCACACAAGCTGGGTACTCATTTCGTCAACCTTGGAAGGATAGAAGGATGAGTCAGCCTTGAGACAGAAGGATAGAAGGATGAGTCAGCCTTGAGATGGCTAGGATAAAGGTAAAGGTTCCCCTTGACAATTTTTGTACAGTCGTGTTCGACTCTAGGGGGCGGTGCTCATCCCCGTTTCCAAGCCATAGAGCCAGCATTTTTGTCCGAAGACAATCTTCCGTGGTCACATGGCCAGTGCAACTTAGACACAGAACGCTGTTACCTTCTCACCGTGGTGGTCCCTATTTATCTACTTGTATTTGCATGCTTTCGAACCGCTAGGTTGGCAGGAGCTGGGACAAGTGACGGGAGCTCACTCCATCGCATGGATTCGATCTTACGACTGCTGGTCTTCTGACCCTGCAGCACAGGCTTCTGCGGTTTAGTCCGCAGCGCCACCTGAGGTTAAACCCCGGATCGTGAGCAGTTTGGTCTGCAGTACAACAGTTTAACCTTGTGTAGATTGATCCAATATTAGAAGATCCAGGATCAGCAAAGATTAGAATTCCCTATTGACTTCTTAGCTTTTGTTTTCCCCTTCTCCCTGCTCATCTCTGCTAACATTGTGGGGGAAAAGTTTTTGAACTCAGATGCAACAGTCTTCTATTTTACGGAGTCCACATGATTCTGCTTGAAATGTCAACAGGGCAAAATTTTAGTGGGGACCAAAGACGGGGAAATCCTTGAAGTTGGAGAAAAAAATGGCGCTTCTAACCTGCTGATTGACAGCCACATGGAAGGAGAGATTTGGGGCTTGGCTACTCATCCCTCCAAAGATATCTTTATCTCTGCTAGCAATGATGGCACTGCGAGGATATGGGATCTTGGCGATAAGGTAAGAGGTGCATGTCAGCCGGCTTTTTAGTGTGTTCAATGGAGAAATAATACTGTGCCCCTTTGACAGGGGCTGGCCTTGAAGAGCCATAGGAGTTTTATATATATATCCCGCCTATCTAGTCGATAGACCACGGGGCTGGCCTTGAAGAGCCATAGGATTTGTATATGTGTGTGTGTTGTATTGCAACCTCGTGTTCCAAATGATTTCAAAATTTCTTTTCTTCGTCCCGACAACAATCCAGTGCAGAACCTTTTAATCAGCCCTATTTTATAAGTGAGGAGCTGAGCCCGGGAACAAGCCTGAAAGGTTAGTTCCATGGGACTCACCTAAACCGGGGCCAGCGACTGACCGAGGCGTAACTTTCACCCCAAGTCCTTCAGTTATTGTGAACATTACTAATTATTTACTTCTGCACTCATTTTAAAGGGATTGCAAGCAAACTGTAGGATTTAAAGCACATTGCGTCTGAAAAAGCTGCTCTAAATTTAAAGCTCATTACGTCTGAAAAAAGCTGCTCTGAATACTGTTAATGTTTTAAATATATAAACTGAATTTTTTTTAAAAAAAAGGATGGTTCTACTGATGAACAAATTCAGACCCGTGGGTATCAAGGTGTTCCAATTACCTGTTTTGTAAGCATATTGTTTTCATCAACCTCCCTTATGGATGCCATGCTATTTTAATAAATGCCACCCAAATCTAATTCAAGGCAGAAGCCAGCTGCAAGAACAACTCCCTAGCTGCATGAACAACCCCACGCATAAAAGAGTGCTGTGTGTATACTTTCTAGCCTTGTCCAGCAGCTGGGGCTGAACACACATAAAACTGCTTAGAAAACTGATAACAGCGCCACCCATCTGTTTGAAGTGGGGAGCAGGGGACTGGAGTTAATGCCCTCCACGTGAACTCATTTCTTCCAGCAAACAGCTGATGGGCAGTTTTGCTGATTGTGCTTTTGCAGCCCAAAAGGTGTGTATATATATTTAATTGTACTGCAACCAGTGTATGAGTGACAAGTCATAGAAACGACTGTAACCCTGTGCCATCCCTTTGGTTCTACAGAAACTCCTGAATAAAGTGAATCTGGGCCATCCTGCCAGGTGTGCCGCCTATAGCCCTGATGGTGAAATGGTTGCCATTGGTATGAAGAACGGAGAGTTCATCATCTTGCTCGTGAACAGCCTCAAAGTTTGGGGTAAAAAAAGGGACCGGAAGTCAGCTATCCAAGACATCAGGTATTAGAGATGTCGTAGGTATAGAAGGTGGCTGAGACAGGCAAGAGCTGGTTCCAACCTGCTTATGGACCATTACAGTTCTTGGTACTTGGTTACTCTTTATGGCTTTTGGTTGGATGGGCCAACTGGCTCCACTGGAAAGTGTTATGATGACTTATGAGTCCACGTGAAGCTCTCTGTGTAAAACAGTGGTTCCCAACCTTGGGCCTCCAGATGTTCTTGGACTACAACTCCCAGAAGCCTTCACCACCACCTCTGCTGGCCAGGATTTCTGGGAGTTGAAGTCCAAGAACATCTGGAGGCCTAAGGTTGGGGACCACTGATGTAAAGCAGTCGTTTCGATGGGCATGTGGCCAATAAGCAGCTCTTCTCAAGTACGCCATCCATTATATATAATGGCTTACAACTGAGCACCTTTTAAAAACTGTTGCTCTTCTTTTGTGTTTTGCTATCTAGAATAAGCCCCAATAACCGATTTTTGGCAGTGGGGTCACAAGAACATACGGTTGACTTCTACGACCTCACACAAGGCACGACCTTGAACCGGATTGGCTACTGTAAAGACATCCCAAGCTTTGTCATTCAGATGGATTTTTCCGCAGACAGCAAATATATTCAGGTCAGTTTTTCCATTTGTTTGTATTATTTTTCCTCCTCTAAAGAGAGAGAGAGAGAGAGAGAGAAGTCTACATCCCTTCTCATCTATAAAGTTCCACCCAGGTAATAATAGCCCAAGATAAAATAAAACGCATAGAAACTTGATCCTCAAGCTCATAAGCTAATAAACATGAACTGGAAACATTTGTGACAGAAAAAATGACATAATAAAATCAGTGTTGACATATAGAGACCTTTTTCAGGGTTTTTGAGGTAAAAAAATACTCAGAAGCAGGTTCACCCTTACTTTCTTCTGGGGGCGCCCTGGGACTGTACAGCTGGCCCAAGGCTACAGGGGCTGGCTCTACGTGTAGGAGAATTGAACCTTTGCCTAAACCACTGAGCTATCCAGCCAGCTTCAATTATTCATGGGGTTGCCATGAGCCAAAGAGGACTTGAGAGTACCTAACTGCAACAACATAGAACTATTGCACATTCTATTCTAACCATTGCTCAGTTAATTAGACTTGTAGACCACCTTGCTCTAAGGACTCAGAGTAGGCAACTAAGTATTGATATGAAAGGAGATTATGTTTACTTCTGGATCGAGGACTACGACTGCTTGCAAGCAAAAAGTATTGTGTATCTATTCCATTATTTTTCAAATAAGAAAAGGGGTGGGAAACATGATGAGAAAATACACAAGGGCTACAAAATGAATTTCTTCGACATTTGGTTCTCTTGTCAGTCCCATGAATGAAAGAGTGTAACTGCGCAGTCAATGCTTCAACTGGAGGCACATTTCATTTCATCATAACTGCCCCATGCAACCCATTGCAATCTTCGAGAGAGGAGACCATGAACCCTAGGTAGTTTTCCATTGTCAGAGGTCCATTTTCTCTGAAAAACTGTCAACCATAATGTGGCTCATACCGGTTCCAGCCTGAAGGTTAGTTGAAGGTACTTCCCGGTAAATGAATCTCACTCCATGTTGAAAAACAGGCATGTCGGGGAGAAGATTAAGCTGAAATCCTGTCCCTTGAAATACTTTTTATCTGCAGGAATAATTTTTTGTGGGGGAACATGATATGATCTAAGTCCCCAACTCCTATCTTTAGTAATGTGGTCTAGGCACAAATTCACGAGCTCGATGAGGACCAACCTGCAAAAAAACACACAAGTTCTCTCAAATAATTTCTTGGAAACATTGGTAACAAGAAGAACATGTAACAAAAGAACTCATTAGGATTTGTTGTTATGGCTGCAATCGCTTCAAGCACAGCATTTGTAAAATTGCTTTTGTGAATTAGGCAAGTGTGAATCGCATGCCCCACATGGATGCCATTTCCAAGGAGCAGCTGTGAGGCTGCAGATTCAGCTGAAAGGAACAAGCCGAGGTTTTCCTCTGAGTAATGGGCAATGGCCCTTTGTGGATACAGAAAATGATGTAAGCACTGTGTGATAAAATATCTGGGAGTTTGCTTCCCTCTAGCTGGCGCATTTCATACTTGTTGCACAGAGCGGTGTGGCTCGCTAACTGAGGACTTCCTAGTTTTAAGCAAGCACACAGTAACACAAGTGTTTGATGGCCTTGTGTATTATTTCGTCGACTTCAAGAGGTCTTAAACCGGCCCTGCTGCGCTTGGGATCCTCTTCCGCTCATCCTACTGAGTGGAGTCCTGCATGTCCATCTCCACATGCTCTCCTGGGAGAATCAATGGCTTCACATCTCTCTGTGAGGAAGTAACCCTTTTGAAGCCCAACAAGTGTTGCACTTACACTGTAAGGGGTGTGTCTTTGAAAATGAGAAAGCCTGGAAATGGCATTGAATATATGTACATTGCAAAGGATTATATTTTGTCAAACAGCTTTCCATCAATATAAAGGGAACCCAGACTCATGTCATTGCAAACTGTGATTATTATTTTAGGGATGGTTTGGCCTCTACTCATTCATTCTTAAAGCAGAGGCCTTTTAAAACCTGTATTTTCCTTCTCTTCCTTTTCCTTTTGCTTTTGCTGAGGCCAACCAGCCAACATGGATGTTCGTGCAATAACTGATGCCAGAAACTAAAGATACGCTCAAAGCATACGACGCGTTTTTCTGAAATCACAAAGGATTAGAATTACCGTTTTTTTAAAAGGGGGATTAAGGTCATTAGATAAAAGAAAGGAGATATTTAGCATCACTTTTCTGTTACTCAACTCATTTTAATCTATTTCATTCCATTTGAGCTAGCAGCCAACCTACCGATGTATGCCTTATTTATAGACCAGAACAGACAGGTGAGGACTGAAATCATCCCAGGAGCCAAAACGTTTCAGCACTCCATGTATGTCATTCATGGTGTCTCTGCTTCCTTCAGGTGTCAACGGGTGCCTACAAACGCCAGGTCCATGAGGTGCCATTAGGAAAGCAGGTGACGGACGTGGCCCTGATTGGAAACATCACCTGGGCCACCTGGACAAGGTGACGCATTACCTGTGACTAAGTTAAATGACCTCTAGAGTATCTGAGGCGGGGACAGGGCAGTAGTGAAGCAAGATAAGGAATGCTGGAGGGGGGATCCAGACACTGAGATTGTTGGCACCCTACTCTCCAAACAGACCAACCCAAACCTTCAATCCATTCTGTTTGCTGTTTTGTTTTTTCCTCCCTTTTATAGTGTCCAAACTGTTTGAATCATATATGCATAGAGTTTCTGTTTAACAAAACATTCCCTGCTCTCAGAGCCTATTGCCGTCACCTCCCTTATTCGAGTTTTCTTTTTCTTTCTTGTCATGGGCCAGCATTCTTGGAGATGAAGTCATTGGCATTTGGCCCCGAAATGCAGATAAAGCTGATGTCAATTGTGCCTGTGTGACTCACGCTGGCTTAAACATTGTCTCCGGAGATGACTTTGGACTTGTCAAACTCTTTGACTTCCCATGCACTGAGAAATTTGTAAGTGAGCTTTTGAGCATACTGGGGTGGGGTGGGGTGGGGGTTGTGCCTGTAGAAATACCTTGAAGTTATAAGAAGTGCAAAGATGCCCACAGTTAGCACAGCTAAATGCTTATAACATGCTGAATAGCATAAAACGGGTCGGCTGCTTTGGGTGGAGCATCGTTCTGTTTCTTCCCTGAAATCTCTTGTCTTCTCCCAACAGGCCAAACATAAGCGTTATTTTGGCCATTCTGCACATGTCACCAATATACGCTTTTCTCATGACGACAAGTATGTTATCAGCACAGGAGGGGATGACTGCAGGTAACTTTTGGTGTCGTGTGGAAGTGAGAGAGCATGTTGGTCTAGCAGGGAGCAGGACCAAGTTTAGGTTCCCATGGACCTCACCTTGAGTGATGCTGCTGAGATAGAAAGCGTTTCTCCTGGAGACAGACTTCTCCCTTTTTCCCTCCCAGGTTCAAACTCAGTTTCCTGACATCAGCCGTGCTCCTCATTAAAAGTGAACAGCCCCATAGATTCTTGAGATGTACATTTGCTGGGTGGTGTCTATGAGCTTTTGATTTCTCTGCCTTGGCCACTCAGAGAGAAAACATTTGGAAGCTTGGGCTTTTTCCCTTGGGAGTAGCTTCCCTGATTGTAGTCCTTCTCCTAACATGAGTCAGGTTTACCTCACCTTCACCCCAACGGGTGGAGTCTGGCACTCTTGATTTCATGGGGAAGGGAATCTGCTGCAGTTTATGGCTGGAACTTTACAGGAGCCGCTGATGCAAATCCCCCCTTCTGTACAAAGGTGTATTGCAAAACTATATAGCTGTCCTCACTCTCCTACTACCCGGATGCCATTCTGTTAGGAAAATTGCCCCAACGGTTCCTGGGTAGAAAACACACGACGGTAATCAGCTGGAAACAGATTCCAAATCCTTTATTCCATCAGAATAATAGGCCTTTCGGCCCTCCCTGCATACGCTTGCATTTGCATCCCCCAATGCCTTTTTGCTCTTACGTGCAAGAAAAGAACAAGCATTCTCCCAATAGTGCCATTTAATGGTCAAGAAAATGCTGAAGAAATGGGAAAAGAGTGGACATTGGCACCACGGGGGCTTGAATGCTCATGCAAGAGTAGGGCGTTCGGTTTGCCTTCCCATGTGCCTTCATCTACTGAAGAGTAAGTTTTCTCTTAGTTGCAGAAATGAGAGGAGCAATTCTTACAAAGACACTTTCCACATTAGAACTGCTGTAAAACATCCATCATGAATTGACCCTTACTAATCATGGCAGAGAAGCAGCCTGCAAGCAGCCTGCCGGATGCCCTAGACCCTTAGTCTACTCTAAGTTGCCCTAGAGATGGCCCAGGGAATTGCCTTTCACGACTTTTCTTTGGAAGAAATTTGGAACAGTTCGATTCATTAAATAGGTGAAGATACTGGGCATAGAAGAAACACTTTGTATGCCAGGGACCAACATTCCCTCTGATTTTCAGCCAGCACCGGGCAGGGGGCCCTGCCCTGCATGCAGTGTCCTGGCCGGGCCTAGAACCAAATGGGCAGCAACGCTGGCTGTGGGTGCATAGCACCGATGCAAAACAGTGTGGCCACGCAACACAGAGAGAATATTGTCAGTGTCTGTAACATCTTCCCTGTTACACAAGTCATAGCTATTTTAAAAAGTAGCCCCTGCAGACTTGATGCCTATGTTTTAATTTATAGAAAGCCTTTCTCAATGAAGGTATAATTTTTCTTTTAATTAAATCACGCGGGTATGTATGTTCACACGAGGAAGCTTTTGTTAAGTGTCTGAAACTTTAGCGTCACTTTTTTCAGCCACAACCATTTTGTACAATTCTCTACCATTCTTTTCCTTTGTAGTGTGTTTGTTTGGCGATGCCTTTGAAGTCGGTTCTTTCGGGCGTCGCTCTTGCTGCCACCGCCGTGCGAGTGCCAAACAGTGCACACTAAGGAATGCCTTCAAGACCCCAGGAGCCAGCGGTGTCAAACACTGTGTGGATGAAATCTATATGCAGCCATGATAGATGCCACATTGAGACCCAACCATGCAGCCATTAAGAGTGCAAAAAAGTGTACATTTTTTTAAAAAAAGCCTAAACCAGGGGTGCAGAACCTGTGGCTCTCCACCTTTTGGACTCCCAAATGCCTACAACGTCTACCAGCATGACCAATGGTCAGGGACTATCACAGTTGCAGTCCATCAAGAACTGGAGGGCTACAGGTTCTCCCTGACACCTAGCAGAAGCGTCATGTTGTTCAGGTGGCATTAAATCTCTTTTGCCAAAATCAGTTCCGGAAATCTGTAGAGCTTGGCCCAATGTGGAAGCAAACTTCAAGTAGTACATTAGAAAAACAAACATGTTTGCGTTTGGAGATCATTGACATTCCTGTGTATGTCTACTCAAAGGTATCCCTGTCTTAAGTGGAACTTAGTCCCAGGGGACTGTACAAGATAACACTTTTAAACCAGCCAATTCAAAACATTATTTGATGAGGAATGTGTTGTAAAGAATGCATTGGCTGGTTTTCTGCTTCTCCAGTGACCAAATACTCGTCTTTCTTTCCCCAAGATTTCATTAAAAATAATTTAATTTTGCCAGTTTTCTATGAAGTGCCTTTTGAAAGCTTTTCCATAGGGCAGGATACAACTTTGCTTCCTGCCAGAGTCTGCTTTCTACTCACGGTGCTACAACTTACCCAACTGAGGAGGGCTGACAAAAGTCATTTTCTTCCCCTCGATGTATACAGTTTCCTTCTGCTTTTTGTTTTGTCTTAATAGTTTAACTGAATCTCCACCAGGTCTTTCACAGAAAAGATGAGCAGGTACATTGTGAGGGAAATGCAGTAAGTAGCTACAGGTTAGTAAATCCATCTCATGTGGAGATCAGTCTTTTAAGATAGAACTTGAAAGGGAAAGTCAGATGAAGTTAAGAGTCTGTGCACAGATTATTCTTGGAGTCTTTTCTGCCTTCCCCACCTGAAAATTTTTCCTCTGCTTTTCCCAGCCAGTGGCAACAGCAGTGGAAGACCAACCTTCCTCATCAGTTCCCTGATGAGGTGTTTCAAGGACATTCAGTCCTCTCACTGAGTTTATGGGCGGACAACTTGGCACATTCACAAACTCTCTGGTGGCTGGGGACCAAGTAGCTCAGGAACGTGGTTCTTGGCGCAGAGGAGCCAAACAGGAGCAGTGGTTCAGCATGCATTTTCTCAATGGCTGCTAACCATAAAGGCCATATATTAAACACCACCAGAAGCCAGATTTCATAAACAGTATGCCTGTGAATGCTAGTATCTGGCTGGCTACTGTGAGAATACAACTGAGTTACTGCTGGTCCACCAGGCCTTGTCTTATCTTCCTACATGGGAGAATGTCCTAGTTCAGTGTGTTGTTACTAAAGGAGAAGAGACCAAAGGGATCTGTGATGAAAATCGAGGAAGTTTTCTTTTTTTCAAAATCACTGGAAGGTCTGTGTTGAAGACTAATTGAAAGACAAGTTGACTTTAGGAGCAATCAGACAAGCATATAACTCACTATTTGGTTTGGTTTTGGTGCAGTTTGGTTCACCCTATTTTCCAGTGACCATGTGTGCTTTACATAAGAGCATCTTGCCCCCTTTGCAAGCTGTTCTGCTCATTTCTGGCACATGTTAGGGCTGCAATTCAGTGTGATTAGGAGTGCTCCTAATTATCTCATTCTGCAGTCTGTGTGGTTGCTTAATTTGCTCCCAAACAGAGCTATGGGCAGCGTTAATTTCAGTGACAACCCTGTGACGTATGCAGTGAGTTGTGACAGTAGAAAGGATGGTAGGGAAACCGTATCCTCCCTGGAACTGCCCAGAGGTAGTGGGCTGACCACTAGATGGAGGGGCGGGGAGGGATTTAAATAAATAAATATTTTCCTTTTCTCATAATTTTCTAAAAATATTCTCCTATGTGATACAGCACTATTTCAGATTTAAGGGAGTATCCATGATAGGTTGATGTATTGCTGTAGTGCTATGCCACTTATTAAAAGAAAAAAAAAGAAATCACTGCAGCCCATGGAATGACAGGCATGCCAAAATGTGAAAGGGATGGGAGGGAGCATCAATAATTAAAAGAGGGAGAAATTGGAGCAATCCTAAGTGCTGTCTGGATCCTTGTCATGGGAGAACAAACGTCTCCTGTGTGAATGGAAGGATTATTTAAGTGAGATATAAAATAGATCACACCGAAGATAAGAGCCTTTTAAATGCAACTTGGATAGCTCCAAATTCCCCCATCTAGTTGCACCCTGTTAGCTGTGGCAAGCAATACTCTGCAAAAAGATACCTCCCCCACATAAGACTGATAGGGAGCAGAATTGAAAGTGCAAATTACATTTGTTCCAAAAAGCATTTGCTTGGAAGTCCACAAGAGTAAGCAGCTCACACAAGGTCCAAGACAAAAAGCCAGAATTACCCGGAATAATACAAAGGAAAATCAATGTATAAAACACAAAGTGCTTCAGTAAACTCAATAAACTACCATTTGTTGAGAATTATTTTATCAATGGAATATATGCCTTACAACCCTCTTATTATTTCAGATCCAGAAATCCCTATGCAGTTTTTTTTCCCATTCATATAGTAAGGAAAGTTTGCTATATTAGACCATGTAACCAGATCAAGTCGGTGATGTCAGGTGGTCACCTTGTATGCCTATGTTGTAATGTTGGCCTTTCATATTGATTGTATCTTAAAAGTATATGATTATGACTTGCTATATGGTGAAATTGTGCAAAAATATTTAAGAGCAATAGTGTGTGTGAGTGTGTGCGCCAGGAAGAGATTTGTTCTATTACGGTTTGATTTTAGATAAATTATGCTCAGACTTGATGCTGTATTATAATGTAAATTAAAATAACAGTGCATGAGTTTATTTTTCAAATGATCCAGTAAAAGATTTATGATTTCAAAACCAGCCATGTGTCAGGTTTTCCTTAGGAACGTATCTCATACTCAAAGACAAGTGTACTTTTTGTGGGTGGGAATTCTTTCCCCAATCATGGCACGGCATCATGAAATATGAGTGTTTTGCTGCAAGCATTCAGTGGGGGCTACACCACCACCAACCCCCGGCCACAATGGTGGTTGCCCATTTCTGTCTAGCAGTGTGTGGCTCTGTGGCAATCAAAAGTGTAAATAAGGTTAGATGGTAAATTTGCAGCCAAAGACAGGAGTGCAAGATCTCCTCCATCCTCTTGCCTGCCAGTTAAGATGCTTGTTCTGTGATGTGATACCGACGCTGTTTTGCAGTATTCTGCTCCATTTCATGGAGTACTGCTCACAGGGGCTGGGCAATTAAATATGATGCTATGTCACACATTTTGTAGCAGCAAAGAAATCATGCATTCTCTGTAACAAGCCACATTTCAATTGAAATGCAGAGACTGAAATCAAACGGGCGAGGGAAAGGAGGTATCCTGCCAAAAACAAGGCATCTTGGGATGACAGACTTTTACTACTAGTGCTCTTCAGATTGTTAAATATCCTTAGTGATTGTCAACAAAAAGAAGACAGAAGGAGTCTCCTCAAAGTATGTGAGAACTCTGAACACAATTGGGTGGCCTCTGGACAATAATGGAACCCTGTTGGCCAATCCTTCTGATCAGAAATCAGCACTGGATTTCTATTTATCTGGCATTAACCTCATCAACTGCAGAATTCTCTACAAATAAATGTTAAGTTAGTGTACAATTATAACAAATATATTTGAATTCAAGTAGGATAGAACTGAGTACAGTACATACCCATTACTTAATGGAGCATACCTGGAAATCTAAATGTGTGGAACAGCCATCCGGAACTCTTATCACCTGGTGTCAACCTACATATAGTCCTGTGAAAAACAAAGTATGCCCTTTTTGAATTCTATGGTTTTACATAACAGGACATAATAAAAATCATCTGGTCTTTAGCAGGTCTGAAAATTAAACACACCCTCAAATGACATACAACAACACATTACATATTACACTGTATCATGATTTATTTTACAAAAATAAAGCCAAAATGGAGAAGCCGTGTGTGAAAAACTAAGTACAACCCAGTTAGGTGCTGCTAACCAAATGCCCTTGAGTTAACTGATCATCAGTAAGTGTGACCACCTCTATAAAAGCTGAAGTTTTAGCAGTTTGCTGGTCTGGAGCACTCAGGTTTGTGTTAACACAAGACCAAGGAGGAAACACAGCAGTAATGATAACAGAGAAGCAATTGTTGCTGCCCACCAATCTGAGAAGGGTTATAAGGCCATTTCCAAATAATTTAAAGTCCATCATTCTACAGCAAAAAAGATTATTCACAGGTGGAAAACATTCAAAACAACTGTCAGTCTTCTAAGGAGTGGACATCCAAGCAAATTGATCCCAAGGGTCGGATTGCGCAATGCTCAGAGAAACTGCAAAAAACTCGAGTTACATCTCAGACTCTACAGGTCTCAGTTATCATGTTAAACGTTAAAGTTTATGACAGGATAATTAGAAAAACACTGAACAAGTATGATTTGTTTGGAAGGATTGGCAGGAGAAAGCTTTTCCCCTCTAAAATTAACATGGCAATGCAGCTTAAGTTTGCAAAGTTCTATCTAGACAAACCAGAAGACTTCTGGAACAATGTCCTTTGACCAGATGAGAACTAAGTGGAGTTGTTCGACCATAATACACAGTGCCATGTTTGGCTAAACCCAAACACAGCATATCAGCACAAACATCTCAAACCAACTGTCAAGCATGGTAGTGGAGGGGTGGTGATTTGGGCTTGTTTTGCAGCCACAAAACCTGGGCACCTTGCAGTAATTGAGTCGGCCATGAACTCTTCTGTATACCAAAGTATTTTATAGTCAAATGTGAGACCCTCTGTCTGACAGCTAAAGCTTGGCTGAAATTGGGTCATATGTCAGGACAATGATCCCAAGCACACCAGCAAATTTACAACAGAATTTCTGAAAAAGAAAAGAATCAAGGTGTTGCAGTGGCCCAAAGTCCAGACCTCAGCCCAACTGAAATGCCATGGCGGGACCTTAAGAGAGCCGCACATAAAGAAATTCCTGCAAACCTCAATGAACTGAAGCAATGTTATAAAGAAGAGTGGGCCAAAGTTCCTCCACAACAATGTGGGAGACTAATAAAGTTAATACAAGAAAACAATTACTTCAAGTTATTGCTGCTAAAGCTGGTTCCATAACCTATCGAATCATAAGGTGTGCTTAGTTTTTCATACATGGCTTCTCCATTTTGGCTTTCTTTTTGTAAAATGGATCACGACATAGTGTAATATGTCACGTGTTGTTATTCGTTGTATTTACCTAGTTTTCAAACCTGGTGAGGACCAATGGCTTTTTATTATACCTGATACGTAAAACCACAGAATTCAAAGGTGCACTTTCTTTTTCACAGAGCTGTACGATACTCTCCAGCAGATGTTGTTCCCACTGACAGCAGTTATAAGTCAAAAGTAACACAACATGGAAGTGCATTCACGTTCCCTGTGTTCATACAGTCAGCACACTTCACAATCAAGAACCATTTAAGTCTATACGCTTTATTGATAACTCAAGTTTTGTTTTTACATTTCACAATGCATTCCACAGACTTAGTTCAATACAGCTTAAACCGCAAGTGTATACATTTTCATTTGTAATTTTCTTGCACTAAACAAGGTTTGCAATTTCCAAATGACATTTGCAGCTTCAGGGTGCAACCGACTGACCCATGCACAGATGCCAAGGGTTCCGAGCACAATGGAGAAGAAGCATGCTGGGTACTCCTTGCTCTACCTGCAAGGATCTCAGGATCACACCATTTGAAATTCCTTCCACAGATTCAGAGTTTTGAGAGACTGTAAACTTGTTTATTCAGAACAAACTATAGGAGGTTTGTGCAGCAAAGTTCATGGAAGAAATTGAGTAATGTATGGAGTGTTTTTCTTTCTTTGTTTGTTTGCTTAACAGATGCTAGTGTTTTCTGAAGATTTAAGCTTACATTATCATGGCGTTTTTAAAAAAGGACTTCAGCTTTTCTCTGATATTTCAAACACTGTGGAGGAGGCTGGACGTCCTAAGCTGCTGTGAAACACTATATATATATAATTTTTATATTGGCAATTGATAAAACAGGAAAATTAAAAAGCACAATACAGCTACACTCGATACCAAAAGGGCAAGACTTTTCAAGCTTGCTTTAATGGCATTATTCTTCTAAACATCTCATTTTAGAAAATCTGCAATCAATCTACACAGACCAGAAACAGTGCTAAACTGAAGTGTTCTCCCTGCACCCCAACTTTGCACGAGGTTCACCCAGAACGCAGCAAGACTACCTTGACCAAAGCGTAAAATGTACAGCTCTCCAATCTGTTGTGTTAACCAGTGCTGCACATGGGAGAAGCAAAGAGGATTAGGTTTAAATCCATACATAGCAGCTTACAATACTTATTTGTGAACACACATGGCAGTCAAGAACAGGTTATTTTCCCCCTTTCAAAACACTGCGTCGCTAAAAAATAAAGATCTGTGAAATTGCACTGCAATGTCAAGGTTTTGCTAGCCCGTGACCCTCCCCACATAATCCAAATGAATACGCCTTCCCTCCCCGCTTAAAAGATGAACTCCTATTTTAATAAATGTTGCTTCTGGTTTTTCATTCAGTTTTTCGCTTCAGTCCAGGGATTTTAGCTTGGATCCTGTTAAAAAAAAGGGATGAGGGATTTATTTATTCAAAATATTTTACCTCACCTCTCTCCTTTAAAAGATCCAAGGCAGCTTATAACAATTAAAAGATAATATTTAGAAGCTAAAAATAGCAAGTATATAAATATTTTAAAAAGGAATTAAAGAAGTATTAAATTAAAAATGGTAAATAAAATCAATACTAAAAACACATTTTAAAACAACAGAGCACAACAATCCATTTAAAAAAAACTCTCAAGCTGCCAGTCACTAAGGAATTTATGAATATATATAGACTATACTGTATACTAATATATATACTAATATATGAGTCACATCCCTCCCCCTACTTCCTCTCCAAGTTGTTCTATGTAAAAAGCCAAGCCCATCCAATATGATAATTAGCAAATTTCAAAGTAATCATCTGATTAATAAAATTATTTTGTTAACCGATTTAAGCTACTGCCATCAGATTAAATAGCTCGGAAAAAAACGTGAGATGCATTTTTTCACTATACCAAAGTTAAAAATACTGGCTACTTCTAAACTGGTTTCAAAATTCAGCACACTCACTTTGTCATTGCATCTTTGACATTCTTGTTCACGAATCCCACATAATGGTCGATTTGAGCCTGAAAGAGAAATAATGATTTGTAACTTCAGTGGGTTTTGAATGGCTCGCGTATTACTTTGTCCCTGTCTACGATGTCTTCATGGCAGACTAGAGCACCCTGTTGCCCTGAAGAAACCAATCTTGTCAGATTTTGGAATCAGTAGGGTCAAGCCTGGCTAATACTTCAATGGGATACACCACAAAGTAGTCTCTCCAAGCAGGGCAAATTAAGAATCCTGGCTGAAACCCTAGAGAACAAGCCCCAGGCAAATCGGAGGGTCCTTGGCTAGACAGATCAACTGGCTCAGTACAAAGCACCCTTCTGGCTTCTGAAATGCTGGTCTCACAGGGGTTTCTAATTAGAAAAGTGATTTCCAATCTCTCACACCTCCAGGAAGATGTTTCGTTATGCAAGGGGATGATAGGTGGTGGGGAAAGGCTGCTAAAGCAGTGTGTAAAGCTGTTTCAATTTTTAAAAAATTATGTAACTTCTAAAACAAAGCACATTTTGTGTAAGACTTTAGATTATGATTAAGCTGCACTCAACATCTGCCAATGGAAAAGGCAGAATATAGATGAAGTCATTGCTTAAGACCAGGGGTCTCCCAAGTATGGCCCACAGGCCACATCCGATCCGCCTTGCCTTTTAATCCAGTCTGTGCATGCGTGCGTGCGTGCGTGTGGGCGGTTGTTCCTTCAGCCCTCGAAAACATGGAAAATATATTACGTGGCCCTCACTGTGAAAAGTTTGAAGACCCCTGCTTAAGACTATCTAGCAGAAGCCTATTTAGCTACATGTAGGGAAAAGGTTGGTTTCTGTTTACATAGAATGGTGAAGTTTTGCTAGCCTGTTTTTTCAGAGCTTCAGTCTAGCCTAATTTCAATCTTAGCTCTGCTAAGTCTGTGAGGCAAGCTGCTTGGCACTGATCAGCTTGTTTCCCAGCTGAGATACTCTTGCCAAGTCGGCTTAAGAGGGACACCCTCAAGACTTACATAACCCCAGCTGAGCAGCAGGAGCTAAAGGAGTTGAACAGGAGCAGAGGGCCAGAATGTGCTCGGCAGGGCATTCTCCCTCTTTTTGCACACAACATACTCTTCATATCCCAATCAATTGTGCTGCCTTTGCCAAACTGTCAAGAGGATACAACACACTCACCTGGTACTTCTCATAAATAATAGGAATACTGAAGAGTGAAATCAGAGCTGGAAAAAAATAACAACAACAGATTTAACCTTGAAATAAGCAGAACTGGTAAGTTCCTGATTCCATGTCTTAAGAAAGATGTGTGAAGTGCTAGACCACAGAAGGCAATGGTTTCCAAATCCTGCACAGTTTGCTATGTAAGATGTGCTGAAGGCCTGTGATCCAGAAATGCTGGCACAGGGCATGCAGAGAAAGTCTGCCACTGATGCCAGTGACACCTGCCACAGCTGCCCAGCTTTGATGGCTGAGCGTGGCCCCTACCACTGGCATACCAAACCAAGTACTGTGATCAAGGCCAATGTTGTCAATATCCTAATGGCCCCGACACCTATCTTGCTTTCCACCTAGCTCACACCCTCCCTGCTCCTACGAGTCACAAGTTCCCACTCTAGAACATTCCTTACAAAGTCCAACAGCCCTTTGCCACTTCCCCTCTACTGCAGTGCTGCTACATTATGTTGGCTTTGTTTGGGAACACTGGCCTAAACCTAATGTAAGACCCATACAGTGATAAACCTCTGTTCGCATATTGACTGACGCTGGACTACGCTGGAGTGCCAGCAAACAGCACATTATGCTTATGCTACATGGAACCATTTGCACAATGGAAAATGCACAGGATGCAATCTTCGTGATAAATATCTGCAAACATGTAGCTGCTTGCCTCACAACTTGTGCCAGTACAATTTCACTTTAGGGTAGAGGCCATAAACACAAAACAAGGTGTTTTCAAGCCACTGCTCAAGGAGGTTTTACAGATTCTGAAGAATCTACTTACCCAATATCAGCAATGTCAGACCATTAAACAAGGCACCAACGTAGGTGAACACCCACATCAAAACGGCAAACTGAAAGGGAAAAAAAAAGAGATGAATGAGATTGCAGGAAGTGGAATATAGAGTTTGAAGTGGCATGTGCCTCACTATGATTGAAGTCTCCACCCACATGCCTGCCTGCTGTCAGCAGTGGCTTGAAAAACTCCCTCTGTGGTAGGAAATCGCGCCCACCCCACTGGGTGGAGTAAACCATTCCAAAGCACTCCAGATGAAAAGGGGACAAGCCTGCTGTGGGGATACGGCATCTGCACTTCCCTAACCCCACCCCTTATACATGGCCTTCACACAAATGCCTTTTCTGAAGCAACCATGGACAAATCAAGCTGCAGACACTTCACCCTCCGTATGTCAGAGATAATTATAGCCAAGAGGACTCGTAACCAGATCCCCCACCTTTCACTTTGAGGTCCCCAGTCAGGTCAAGTGAAGAGTGAGGAAAGGCTCATAGCATTTCACATCTCTCTGCCTGTGGTTCAGGTGCCTGTTTCCACGCAAAACAGGGTCCAGGAGAGCAGAAACAGCAATGCAACGGGCTCAGCCCCCCCGCCCCGCGCCAGTGAGATTTCAGCACCACATCTATTCTATTTTGATGCAGCTAAGGTCACTTGAGGTGGCGATTTTGCCATGTCAATTATCACACAGGGGACTATTTCATTAGCAGATGCCCTCCAAGCAGAAAGAGCGGGTATGTATTACAGAGAGCAAAGCCACCCTAAGTGTGAAATGGCTGCACCCGGATAAGTATCTGCTCTGATTATTATGGCCTTCCAAAGCGAAGTTCAGAAGGTACTGCTCCTTCACTAGCCTGAGCCCCTCTGCCACTCACTCCCCAACACCAGGCAGAGCTCTTTTTGCTCAACATGGTTGCACGACTGAAATCCCTTAGGCTCCACAAGGCCTTAGGCAGGGAATTCCATCGTTCCTGCAAACTGAAATCCTTTAAAGGGGACCAAGCACGAGAGGCCAGAGATTCAAGGAATCAAGCTTGAAAGAAGAACAAACCCTGGAAATGTAAAAATGTTGGACTACAACTCCCAGAATCCCTGCCAACTCCAAAAAAAGTAACTTTCTTAAATTCTAGAGACACGTTTTATCTTCTCTAAACAACAAGGCCGTTGCAAATCCAATACCACAACCACAAGAAATGGAAAATCAGAGGGCAGAGAAAACGACAGTCACATCTCATGGTCCTTCTACGATGCTAATTGTAACTTGAGAAATAAATGGATTAACATATCCCAAGATCAGTAACAGGCAGAACACTATTGGCCCAGAGATCATTTCAGAGGAGATTAGACAGTCTGCTTGTCAAGTGAATTTTGGGAGGAAGAGGCTGATAGAAGTGCTGAATCGCCTAGTCCAGCTGTTTCTCACTGGACTCTAAGGGCCGAACGTCCAGTATGGCTCTCTAATCAAAATAGCCAAGGACACATTTGCACAATTGTTTGCTTTGGTTATTTTTATGTCATGGCATTTTACAGAAAGTGCTCACACTGGCTGACCAGCATCAAAATCAATCATAACATGGAAAAGTTCAGCCATACTGTTCGAAAGATACTAAATGACAACTTACACAGCAGCCAAAAAGGTTAGGAAAGTGTTTCCACCCTGAACTTTTGGTTATTCTGCATTTCACTAGCAGTTTAATGTCAGTATTAACTTAAGAAGATGTTATCAAAGGGATGGTGCCAACAGTCAAAAGGCCCTGAAAAGGCAGGAAAAGCCTGCAAAGTGCTCTAAAGCGGGGGCGGGTGGTTTCAGGGCACCCCCGCCAGGGTTCTGATGGCTTCTCCTGCACCATCAGAGGACTAGTGGGGGACCGCCAAAGCTGGTGATTGCGGGGAGGGGACCCCCCACCAGTCCTCCCATGGTGCTTCCCCAGCTCCCTACCCCTTAAGTTCCTTTTTTTAAAAAAATTCCCCTAGGAACGCATTAATTTTCAATGCATTCTTATGGGAAATTTGGTTTCGCAAGACAGCGATTTCTGTGGAACAGATTAACATTGTCTTGCGAGGCACGACTGTAATTGTAAGAGCAGTACAACAATGGAACTAATTAACTCAGGTGGGGGTAAATGTTCCAATGCTGGAGGCATTCAAGAGTAAACTGTACAATCCTCTGTCAGATCTGCTTTGACTTGGATTCCTGTACTGAGCAGGGGGCTGGGCTTGATGGCTTTATAAGCCCCTTCCAACTCAATGGTTCTATCAAAGTGATCTATGATACTAGATAATCTATAACCTATAAAGCCCTAACTGGCCTCGGCCCAAGCTATCTCAAGGACTACATCTCTCTTTATGTGCCTGTTCAGGTGTTAAAGTAATCAGGAGAGGCCTTTTCCTCGGTCCCACCACCTTCAAATGCATGCTTGATGGGTACACAGGAGAGAATCTTCTCTGTGGCTGCTCCCAAACTTTGGAACTCCCTCCCACTGGAGGCCAGGCTGGTCCCATCTTTGCAGTCCTTCCACAAGCAGACAATGACCTCTCTCTCCAAGCAAGCTTTCCCTGAATGACAGGCTCCCTGAGTGGGGTTTAAAATAGACTGTTGTACCTTACTGCTTTGAATATGTTTTGATGGTGCTTACATTTTTTAATATGGTATTTGTTTGGTCCTTTTTCTTATTTGTATATTCATTGTTGTTACCTTTAACGTGGTCTTTTAATTAAGCTGCCTTGGGTCCTCTTTAAGGAGAAAGGCGGGGTAAGAAATATTTTAAACAAACTAATATTAAACTATTTCTAATAACCAGTTAATAATGTGCAGTCACATCAACTACTCAGTTTGCCCAGTGCTGCCCAGGGTGGCCCTTCTCCCAGGAATGATAGTGGGAATCAAACTCCCACCCTATGGCTCTACAGCCAGATACCCCACTCACTGAGGTATCCAGGCAGCTAAATCATTTCTAGCCTGCCCTGTATCACAAGATCTCTTCTCGGATGGGAGTGTAAACAATAAGCACAAATTTAAAGCAATACAAAAGAATCAAAATAAACCTATAATCCAACATATCAAAACCAAACTATGATCATTGAGCCCTAAAAGCTTGAGACTGAGGCAAAGTCAATTTCCGTGTCGGTTGAAAAGGGGGGGGGGAGTGTTCCACAAACCACAGCAGCACACCCAAGAGGGACCCCCCTCTACTGCATCTCCACAGACCATGGTGCCCCCAACTGTGGGACACGGAAGAGGGACCATCATACTACCTTAATGTGTAACCACAGACACACTACCCCAGAGATGATAATGTAAATCTTACAAACTTACTATGTGCCAATGGCAGCATAAGTTATTTATAATCATAAATTTGTAATACAGGAGTGCCCGTGTGCTTATTGATTATGTACAATACCTTCCACAGTAGTTCCATTTATGGTAAGGCCATAATTTATACTTTAGTGGAGCATTTGGGTAGCTACCTCCCCATGGTTTTTTATAAGCCTCTCTACTAGAGACGTACACTTGCAGGGAAGTGAGCCATCTCATTCATTCCCTCCAATGTGGTTCTGCCAGAAAGCCAGTTCATAGAATAATAAAAAAGTGACGTTGGAAGGGGCCTACAAGGCCATCAAGTCCAACCCCCTGCTCAGTGCAGGAATAGAATCAAAGCATATCTGCCAGGTGATTATCTAAGTTTTTCTTGAATGCCTCCTGTGTTGGAGCGCTCACCAACGCCCGAGGTAACTGATTCCATTGTCGTTAATCAAATCTTTAAACCAATATGTAGACCACACTTTCTGTTACACCTGGCATTATTAGCAATTGTGGTGGTTCTGTGCCATCAAGTCAAACTGACCTTTAGCAACCCAACAGGGCATTCTAGGTAAGTGAGATATTTAAGGAGTGCTTTTACCAGTTCCACTCCCCAGTAAGTTTCCATGGCCAAGTGGGGTTCAAACCCTGTTCTCCAGAGTCCTAGTCCATCACTCTATCCACTAAACCAAACTGGGAATCTTGCTCCTAGCAACAGGAGCCACCGATTTAAAAGCTAAGCACTGAGAAGCGAACCTCTTAACACACTCTGAAAACAATGGAAAACAGATACCACACTAGAATTCCTCTCATGTATTTAAGTTTTAGGGGCCAATTGCCTCAACTGAAGAAATTGCTGCAGACATTATCCTTTCCATGTGGTGTCATGCAGCTCAGTATGCAACAGATAGTCTCTATAGTCATTCCTTAAATACAGGCAATTAATCTTCAAAAGTTACACGAGTGTAACTAGGCAAGAGGATCTGGGCCAATGCATGACAGCTTTTCAGCCCATTTCACTATATGCAACTGTTGTTCAAGACAGTTGTGTCCACCACAGATCTGTTTGCCTTCAAAGGATCACAGGGTGCTCTCTTTACTTGCTGCAATTAAACAAAGGGGCGACCCCCTCTAAAAACAGAACAGGGCTAATTGCCCTGGTGTGATATATTTACAACTACAGTGGTGCCTCGCTTAACGATTTAATTGGTTCCAAAAAAATCATTGTTATGGGAAAACATCGCTAAGCGAAACTTGGTTCCCCAATTGAAATGCATTGAAACCTATTCAATGCATCTCAATGGGGAAAAAAATTCAACAACAAATTAAAAAAGAGTCATAACAAAGTCAAATTAGTTTAACAAAGGGTTTATTAAGTGCACTTATGATTTCAAGCATCCTAAACATTTTTAAACATTTAAAAAACAGCCAACATGAGGCTGTCAAAACCATCGTTAAGCGAAACAGGGAGACCCAAACTGTCATCACTATGTGAAGCTTGGTCCTAAACATCGCTATGCAAAAATCGCCCATAGGGAACATTGTTAAACGGAGCGCAAGATTGCTCCGAAAAAGTCATAGCTAAGCAAATTTGTCATTAAATGAAGCGCTCATTAAGCGAGGCACCACTGTATTTCAAAAGAGCTTTCCAAACACTGACCTCATCTCCAAAAGAGCTTAAGTATGGCAGCAGCACATTTATCCTACCCTTTATATATTTTCTGTACATGACGTTAATAAATATAAGTGGGAATAAGAGA